TGGAAATGATCAGGAGGTTGGGGCACATGACTTTCGAGGAGAGACTGAGGGAATGGGCTTGTTTAGTCTGCATAAGAGAAGAATGAGGGGGGATTTGATAGCAGCCTTCAACTACCTGAAGGGGGTTCCAAAGAGGATGGAGCTCGGCTGTTCTCAGTGGTGGCAGATGACAGAACAAGGAGCAATGGCTCAAGTTGCAGCTGGGGAGATTTAGGCTGGATATTAGGAAAAACTTTGTCACTAGGAGGGTGGTGAAGCACTGGAATGGGTTACCTAGGGAGGTGGTGGAATCTCCTTCCTTAGAGGTTTTTACGGTCGGGCTTGACAAAGCCCTGGCTGGGATGATTTAGTTGGGGTTGGTCCTTCTTTGAGCAGAGGGTTGGACTAGATACCTCCTGAGGTTCCCTTCCAACCCTGATATTCTATGATTCTAATAATGAGTCACTTGTTTGACAGGTTGCCCCCTCCCCTCTGGGGTGCCACCTGATATACTGGGGTACCACTGAGCCCGCCTGTTCCACCAGCCTGGGCTCCCTCACCCTGTCTTGCTGAACCAGGCCCTCAAGCCTCCTCCAGCACATACACAGGTAGGGACACAGCCAGCTGCAGAAAGACACAGACACTGAGATCAGTATTGCCTGGGAAGGCTTCAGCTAGGGAATTGTGCAGCACTCAAGCGCACTCCCCCTCTGGGAGGCAAACCCAAAATTATATCGTCTTGCGCTGCACAGAAATCTGTACAGCGTAAGCTCATGAAAATTTCCCCCTCCCACAATGTGGAGGAAAATATGCACAGCTTTTTGCCCCCCCGCCAGTTATGAATTCCACAAACTACGTTTTAGAAAATAAAACAAGTTTATTAACCACAAAGGTTAGATTTTAAATGATTATAAGGGACAGCAAACAGATCAAAGCAGATTACTGAGCAACTAAAACACACAACCTAAGCTCAATACACTAAAGAAACCGGTTAGAAGTGGTAATTTTCTCACCCTAAATGTTGTTTTAGGCATTTCTTTCACAGGCCAGACACCTTTTCCAGCTTGGGCTCAGCTCTTCTCCCCACTCCCTCCCCCCAGTCCTAGTTTCTTAGATCTTCTCAGCCGTCATCCTGGCCGGGGATTCAGTGAAGAAAAGAGCCCTGATTAACTCACTTCCCTGCCTTAAATAGGATTTACATATGGCAGGAATAATTTGTTTTCCAGTTTGGTCTCCACCCCTTTTGTGGAAAAATACTAGCAGGTCAAGATGGGGTCCAGTACCAGGTGACATGATCACATGACCCTGCAGTGTCAAAGCAGCATCCCAGGAAGCTTCTCAGGAAGGAGGGAGATTAGCATCTTTGGAGTCCTGTTGTCCTCCCTCATGGCCCATTGACTAACCAGCCAGACTGATGGCATTCTATCTGATGGGCGTTCCCCAGGTGCAAACACTTTTGTAATTGATACATAGTCAATATTCCTAACTTCAGATACAGAAATGATACAGGCATACACATTGGATAATCACATTCAGTAACTCATAACCTTCCCAATGATATCTCACCCGACCCATCTTGCCTAAAACATATCTTAGTTATGCCACATTCATAGCGTAGCCATATCTCTACAAAGAATATGGGGTGTAGTGTCACAACTTGACTTCCCCTCTTCTCTTGATGATAATCTTTCTCAATTACATTATTTTACATCTTTTCTCTCTGTCAGATGCTAGCCCCTCCAGGAGACCTCAAAGGTCCATCTACCCCTCTGGAAGAACTGCCACTGGGCGGCTGTACGTGATAAACTCCCGAGTGTAATGAAGTAGCTGCACCTCCAAGGATACCTGCCTCCAGTCCCACTCTCGGCGTCTGCTGCTCTCCCAGAGCGACCAAACCTCCTGAAATTGCCAGACAGAGCCAGACTGTTCTACGCAGCCTGGAATCCTTTTCTCTGGATTTGCTTTTGAAGTGAAGGCATCATGTCAGGTTCCAGCTTGTGACAGTGACTCTTTGACCGTGAGCAATTAATTTTCCAGAACCTTGATGTGTTTTTAGGGCAATTAATGAACGTTTCTGTCGTGTTCTGTAAGTGTAGCGTAGCTGCAAGGGGCTTTAAGGTACTCCACACAGAGGCTGGCATCATGTTGGCAAGACACGGGCCTGTCGAAGATGGTGTCATGTTAGCATGATCTAGATGTGCTAGGCTGAGCATCTGCTTAATAAAGGTCTGTCACGAGCAGTGTGGATTCTGATTGGGGCTCATGATGTTTTCTACATGTAACACAAATATTCCAAAGTGTCGGCAGGAAAAGCTGCTTTTGCCCCCTCCTGAGAAGGGGCCTGCTCTGATCCTGAGCTCACCCCCATGAGTCAGCAGGGACCGCACTGGTATCAGTGGAGTATGTTCAGAATCAGGTCCCAAATCTGCAGATTGCAGCTGGCAGACCCAGGCCCCAAGTGCAAACTGCCCTCCCAGGGGCAAGGGGAGGCTGGGCTATAAAGCGCTTTGAATTCTGCGGATGGAAGGTGCAGTGTAAATCCCGACTGATCATGGAAGGGGCTACGTTCTCCCCATCGGCAGCAGGGAGGAAAACCAACTGCAAACAGACTTGCTAAGAGGAAAATATCTCAGTCATTCCCGAGGCCACAAAGTGCCCTTAGTGTTGACAGGGATCATGTTGAAAGGTTCCACTCCCTCTAACATTGCTCCCATCCTTTGCCTTCTCCTGGAGGTCCCAGGCCTTCTCTCTAACCGTGAACCCTTCAGCTCTGACCGCCTCCAGCCCTTCATCCTCACCAAAGCCTGGCTGAATCCCACAGACTCAGTGGCTCACCTCTCTTCTGGTGGCCACACACTCATACCCCAAGAGTGATGTGGGGCTTCTGCTTTCTACCTCCAGCCCTTCAGCTTCCATCCTTCTCAACCATTTTCTTTCTTCCAGCCACACACCATCTTTGCCTCTTGCTGGAGGAGATATCACCTACCATCCCCCCTGTGACTGGATCCCCGGGGTACTGTGGGACCGCTGTGCCGCCTTAAGACTCTCCAGCCTGGGCTGTCTCTCACCATGCTTTACTAGTGACCAGCAGCAACCCCTCTAGGCGCTGTGATCACTCGGCACAACCGCATGTGGAGACCCACACCCAGCTCTATTGCATGAATCCTCCCAGAGACACTCATGAATCACACAGAGAAAGGCACCAGCCAAATTCCCCCAGCGCCCAGCACTGTACCTCAGGAATATACTGTCTTGCACTGCTCAAGATTTATTAATTGGTTCACCACTTCATCAATGGAAAGTGGACATACACCAGCCTTTGCAAACCTGAGCAGTTTTGCCACACACTTCATACAAACTCACTGGTAAAGATAAACAGTTAAACAAATGTATTGACTACAAAAGATAGATTTCAAGTAATTATAAGTGATAGGCAAAAAGTCAGAGTTAGTTACCAAAATAAAATATAAGCACACAGTCTAAACTCTCAACCCTATTAGACTGGGCAACACATCTAGGCTAAGCAGTTTTTCTCACCCCACTGGATATTGCAGTTCATAGTACACAGATTTCACCCTTAAAACCTGGCCAGTCCCCTCAGTTAGAGTCTTCAGTCTTCTTCTGAGTGTCTTTGTTGCTTGCAGCATAGGTGGGTGAGGGAGAAAGGCCCAGCATGGGGCCCCTGTGTCTGTTTTATACCCTCAGTCCACGTGCTGGGAAAACACAAGTCCAGGCATGTCTGGGGGCATTGCTGAGTCTCCAACCAAGGTTGAGCAATTCCCCTGGTGTGGCCTCATGCAGGTGAATCATTGAATTGTAGCTTCTTGCTGGACAATGGTTGTTGATGGGTTGATTGACACCTGACCCAGGTGTTGGTTACTTTCCTTGCTGTTGTCTCTGAAGAGCTAATATCTGGCTGATTCCTCAACTTACAGCATGTTTTAGTGACAACCATACAACACAATTCTCATAACTCCATATGCATTAATGATATATATATATATATGTATAGATATAGATATAGATATGATTTTCAGCAGATTATAACCTTTCCCCTGAGACCTCACACGGCCTGCTTTATAAGAAAGATCACAATTATATGTAAATGAGGAATATGGGGGTTACAGAGAGCTCCCCCAAGGTACAGAATGTCACACCCCCTGACAACCATCCACCTTCTTCTCATTTCGATGCCTGTCTGCCTCTCCTTCGCCCTCAGTGACCCCATCCTCCTTATCACTGACCTCTGCGACCTCTCAGTTCCTCTCCCTTCCGCCTTCCCCTTCAGCTTCTGTCCTGGCTCCAGGACAGCTGGCTGGATTTAAAATGAAGACGCAGCAGTGCAGAGACAAGATGGAACTCGTGCCTCCGAGCTACCCATGCCCATGATCTCTGAGTGGATTCTTAATTTAGCAAAATGAATTCGCTTCTCCTGAGCCTGTAGCAATTAGGACTCTTTATCTTCTGTAGGAATTTCAGAAATAAATGTGGAGTTAAGATGATGCCTACAGACTCAGATGCCCGTCTTTTTCTTAAAGGACCCAGAATCACAGCATGGCTTTTTGAGTTCTACTTTTAGGCTGGGATTTGCCAATTAGTCTAAGGGGGTTAGGTGCCTCAAAGACCTAAATATCTTTGATAATCTGAGCCCTGGCTCCCACTGAAATGCAGTGAGTGTTGGGCACCTGACTGGCTTCTTTGAAAATCCGGCCTGGGTTAATTAATCAGTTCTACTTTCTCTACTCAGAGCACTTGTGCAATTCATACTAAAATCATCTCTTTGGCCAAAAACATGCTGAAACCCCCCTCAAATGACCTCGACAGCACCCAGGCACAGTAGCTGTTATTCTCGGGGAATTTTCCAGGAATTTGTGGGTTTGATCCATCTTTCTTGGAGAGAAGCGTCTTTGCATCTGTCATCAGCGTTTATCTGTGGAACAGGCAGTCCTGTGTGGATCCCATGCCCTCTCCCCAAGAAGGAGGGATAGCTCAGTGGTTTGAGCATTGGCCTGCTAAATCTGGGGTTGAGTGTTCAATCCTTGAGGGGCAATTTAGGGATCTGGGGCAAAAAAAATCAGTATTTGGTCCTGTTAGTGAAGGCAGGAGGCTGGACTCGATGACCTTTCAGGGTCCCTTCCAGTTCTATGAGATAGGTATATCTCCATATTAGATTAGAACCTGTAAGATTCTGTCTTACAGAAGCCAGCATAAAGGGTGAAATGCATCAGTGACCTCACCAGCGCTGCCTGGGCCTAAGGGGAGCTGTACTTGGGTCCACAAGCCTTTCTGGCCAGCCCAGTTCACTTAGGCTCACACCCTTCAGCCAAAGCCCAGTGTGAATCCAGCCAGTCTGATCACTTCTTTCCAGGCTGCCTGTCCCTCCTGCCAACCCTTCAGTTGGCTGATGTAACTAGTTCAGTTGGCTGATGTAACTAGCTCCATCCCACTCGCCAAGACTTTGGCAATCTGGCAAGGGAGTCGCCAACAAACCAGAATTTTATCTTGGATTCTGGAGCCCTAAGAAGCCTGGTTAGCCCTGCCCCATCCCATGGCATCTCAGCTACCCCACGTCCATTGGAGAAATGCAGTGGTAGCTGCTTTAGGCCTTAACGAAGAGAGACACTTTTCATTTACCCCCTTCACATCCTGGAGAGCCTCAGTTTCTGTATGTCACCATAGGAGCTCCAATGATGTTAATGAAGCTATGCTGATCTACTCCAGCCGAGGAGCTGGCCCTTCTTATTTTCCTTTGATAAAATCAGATCTAGGCTTTCTGACATCACTGACCCCCATCAGAAAGCGAGGGGGGGGACCTCCAGCATCATCGCAGGGTTGGAGAATCCAAGAAATGGTAATGACCGTAAACCTAACAGATTCCTAGGAGCTCTTGGCTCACAGGGAGGAGCACAGAGATGCCCAGGGTATAACTGCCTCCCAGAGAAATACAGGCACTTCCAGGCTATACACACGCAGTTCAAAAATCCTTGTTGTTTGGAGCACTGGACATGAGAAAAAAGATCTGCTTATGGTTATGTATCCTGCGCAGCTGCTGGAAGCCACCAACTAGGGATGACCAGAGGTCCCGATTTTATAGGGACAGTCCCGATTTTTGGAGCTTTTTCTTACATAGGCTCCTATTACCCCCCACCCCCTGTCCCGATTTTTCACACTTGGGATCTGGTCACCCTACCACCAACTCACAAACATTCTGTTTTACACTCCTATTTTTTTCACAAAACTGGACCAATCAGATAAGTTTATTGACAAGTAAACATTCTAGGTGGCGTTGAGATGTGCATGTACACGGAGCACGTTGCTCTCTGGATGCAGCAACCCCATCGCCCTGGGTGACCCACGGAAAATGAACCTGTCACATGCAGCTCCACAGAAAAGCCTCTACAGTTTAGCTAAAGAAATAGCTCCATGCACTAGCAATGGTAGTAGGTGCTTATCCTCTCTGCAGACCAGCCCCTAGAGCAGGACACAACACACTTAACCAGCTTATTACAAGTACAAACGAGGACAAGTCACTTGCGTAACCTATCATCTATCACAGCTGTTTTAAACTCCCATTGTAGTGAAAGTTTTGCCCAGTTTCTCTAGGTGTTTGCTGAGTGTCTGTGTCACCTACTGGCGGGAGTGTGACACAATCTTCCTCTCCCCCAGGCTATGAGAAGGTACGGCAGCAGCTAGGTCATGCTTTTAGCCTTGCTCAATCCCAGCTTGCTGGCCAAGATGGCAGTCATCACTTTTAGTTAAGGACAGGTGACAGAGTAGTGAGTGCCAAGTCCTTTACAATTATGTTTCCTCCATTAAATGTGTCATATTCAGGAGTTATTATCCCGGGCAGGAGATGCTATTACAGGACCCAGTTCTGCATCCCATATTCGGGATGGACACTGCTTACACATATGAACCATCCCATTGGTTTCAATCCCACTGCTTGCATAAGTAAGTGCCACTCAACATCAGGAGGGCTCCAGCACCAGGCCTATAATGATTCATAGATTCCAAAGCCAGAAGGGCCACTATGATCATTTTGTCTAACCTCTGGTATAACACAGGCCCGCGAATGTCCTGAATTCATTTCTGTGTGATCTAGAGCAGATCGTTGAGAAACACGTCCGATCTTGATTTTAAAATCGCCAGGGATGGAGAATGAGCACAACGACTTTTCTCTCCTGCATTGTACAGTCAGGGTGGGATTTTCTAAGGTGCTACGCATTGCCCCAACTTTGCTCCCACGGATGTCAATTCAGAGATTCCAAGGCCAAAAGGGACCATTGTGATCATCTTGTCTGACCTTCGGTATAACCCAGGCCAGAGACCTGCCCAGAGCAGAGCTTTTACAGAAACACCCAATCTTGATTTAAAAATCATCAGTGATGGAGAATCCACCCGACCCTTGGTAAATTGTTGCAATGGTTAATTACTCTCTGTTAAAAATTTACATCTTGTTTCCAGTCTGAATTTGTCTCACTTCAGCATCAAGCCACTGGATTGTGTTAGAACTTTCTCTGCTAGAATGAAGAGCTCATTGTCACGCTGTCTGGAGTGATGCCCAGCCGAGAGCGCCAAGCTCATGGCAGACTGTCAAAAGGCAGGGCAGACACCCCAGACTGGTGGCAAGTTTTATAATTAGATTTCACCAACCCAGTAACAAATGTGAACTCCCAAAGTGAACTCACAATAATCTTATCCTGTGATAAGATAAGATAAGATAAGATGGCGTCACAGACAGTCCCCCTGGACACGCCAGTCTATCTCGCCACCCAGACTGGCCTTAGTGATAAATGCTCACTTTAACCAAAGATCAAAATAATCAGGTTGCGTCCAGTCCCAAGAGACCAGTCACTTGTTAGTGATGGTAATATAGCATTCAGGCCTGTATATTTGCCGGAGATAGACTCTGGGGTTTTGTTTGCCCATTTGATTTTTGATATTCTTATATCCTTACTAATATGTGTTGTGACAAAGTTCCTCCTCTATCTTGGTGGGTCCTGCGCTTATTGGCAGATTTTCTTGCCTCAGAGATTCACCAGGTGGGTTGGGGAACAGCCCAGAGACCTTCCCCTCTGGAAGAACCCACAGTCCAGGTCAATTGGGAGGTTTGGGGGGAACCCGGGCCTGCCCTCTACTCCGGGTTCCAGCCCAGGGCCCTGTGCACTGCAGCTGTCTATAGTGCCTCCTGTAACAGCTGCATGACAGCTACAACTCCCTGGGCTACTTCCCCATGGCCTTCTCCAAACACCTTCCTTATTCTCATCACAGGACCTTCCTCCTGGTGTCTGATAATGCTTGTGCTCCTCAGTCCTCCAGCAGCACACCCTCTCACTCTCAGCTCCTTGTGCCTCTTGTTCCCAGCTCCTCACACTCACACCACAAACTGAAGTGAGCTCCTTTTAAAACCCAGGTGCCCTGATTAGCCTGCCTTAATTGATTCTAGCAGCTTCTTCTTAATTGGCTCCAAGTGTCCTAATTAGCCTGCCTGCCTTAACTGGTTCTAGCAGGTTCCTGATTACTCTAGTGCAGCCCCTGCTCTGGTCACTCAGGGAACAGAAAACTACTCATCCAGTGACCAGTATATTTGCCTTCTATCAGACTCCTGTACCCCACTGGTTTGGGTGTGTCACAGTGTGAACAAAGACACTTTGTGTTGCTTCTGCCCAACCAGATGGGTTTGTTAGTATAATGAGAAAAGATAAGAAATCGAGCTAAAGTGTTGCTGGTTTTGGTGGGAGTTTAATATACGACTGCCTCGACTCTTATCACAAGACAAGCTCAAGTAACCAGTTGGGAGGGGCAAAAGGGGTTGTGGGAGAGGCATAAGAAACACTAAAAGCCAAAGAAAAGCCTGGCCTTGGCCAGTACACAACCTCACTCCCCTGCCCCTCTCATGGGGTACAAGAGAGGTGGTACCGAAAACCCCAGACTCACAACCCTCCAAAACGGAACAGACCATAAATTGTAAGGGGTGGTGCCAGGGCATGCACTACAGGTATAACTGAGCTGCTAAGAAAGAGGAGGGGGGGACAGGAAAAACTCTACTGGTGTACGGAGCTGTGCATTATACTTGCTTGGTAACCCCAACAAACATTGCATTGCCGGCACTTCATACTCTGCTCTTCTGCTTTCTGTCTGCGTGACAAGAACCAAGGAAGGGCAGGGGAGCCCTAACATCACTTACCCCAGATCAATTTGTACCTTAGATCTCACACCAAAGAACGCTGGTAGCCAATCACATAATTAACAAACGGTTTATTAACAAGGAAAAAGAAACAAGAGAGTTATTTACAGGTTAAAGCAGGCAACATATACACACAGGTGAGTTCAGGCTACGGTCTCAACAGGTGACAAAGAGGTAATAATCTGTCAGCACTGAATGCCTTTTCAGGGCTAACCCCGGCTAACCAGCATGGGGCTCTCAATGCTTATGTTTAGGAGTCCCTGCCCCTCAGAAACCAGGCAGCATAAGAGAGATTCAGTTTCTCCTGAAACTCCTTATCCCCTCCTTTCCAAAGTCCAAAACTGATGGGATGAGTTCCTGGAGGGAGGTGGGAATGAAATCAACAGTGTGTGCTTTGATGCTACACAATACATCTTTTGCCTTCCATGGGCTATTCTTGTATGCAGGATGAGCACTTTCCCTTACTCAATTCTTCTTTGCCTGTTTGTTGAGTTACACAATTACAGAGGTTTACAATGCAAACACACAATATAACTTTATACCATAGGCTATAGAGATTATAAGTGAGATCAATACACCCAGCACCCTACAAGCATTTTATAAAGTCTAAACACTAAACACATTTTCATCAATTTAACATCTAATAGCGATTTTGATAATGCTAAAACACAAGTAAGCAAGACTGGTTTCCAGCCATGCATTTGTATGTGTTCAGTGAGGCCCGGGCCTTGGCATGAGCTTGCACCTTGTCTGCCAGTGTCATACCCATTATTAAATATTTGTTCCCCGTGTTGATACTTATACACTATGATCAAGTCACCCCTTAACCCTCTGTTTCTTAAGCCAAATAGATTGGGCTCCTGGAGTTTATCACTATATGGCATATTTTCCAACCCTTTAATCATTCTCTTGGCTCTTCTCTGACCCCTCTCCAATTTATCAACATCTTTCTTGAGTTGTGGGCACCAGAGCTGGACACGGGATTGCAGCAGCAGTCGCACGAGTGCCACACCCAGAGATAAAATAACCTCTCTGCTCCTACTCGAGATTCCTTTGTTTATGCATCCCAGGATCCCATTAGTCCTTTTGGCCAGTGTCACACTGGGAGCTCATGTTCAGCTGATATCCACCACAACTCCCAAATCCTTCCCAGAGTCACTACTGGGTGAAGGCCGGGGTGTTCAAAAGAGCCTAAGGGAGTTAGGTTCCCAGTGGGATTCCAGTTCTTAACTCTCTTGAGAGGCTACTTGGAAAACCCCAGCCCAAAATCTCAGTGCTGTTAGGGGGAGCAGAGTCAGGCCAACATTGTGTGCTTCTGACAATAGGAATCTCTTCCTAGTCATAAAACAAGCCTGGATCCCTATTAAATTCTGCTTCTAGCAGAAATCTGAGGAGTCCACCTGGCTGTTTCTATTAAATTAATACCTGGCCATACCCGATGGGGGAGCATTTCCATACAAGCTGTTCTATTGCCCACAACCAGGTGGAATATTCTTACAGAGATTTTGTAGTTAAGCAAGCTGAATAATACAGACTATGCACAACAAAGTACTACGGTGTGGTGCCATTTATACTGTGATGTTTCCTAGTTTCAGTCTTTCTTTGCCCTGAGATCACTGGCACAGTGATTCTTTTCTCCACATTTTGAACAAAAAGAAGTCATTTGCTCTCATTCCTAAGTGCTCCATCTGTAGGGCTTTCCACAGCCTTGTTTAAAGAGCACCATTTGTTGCTTTCTTCTAGTAAATAAGAGGTTTCCTCCCCTGTAATAATGTGTAATTGTAATAGATTAATATGAAAAAGAGCTGAAAACAAAGGAATGTCTAATTCTCGCTAGAGCAAACAGGAATGAAGAATTACTGCTGCTTATTCATAGTGCTCTAACTGCTCTTATCTGAGGGCGAATCAGTTCATTGCTGAGACACTGATATCATCTAGTTCACACAGATTCTCCCATTTGCGCACGCACACACACACACACACACACACACACACACACACACACACACACAAAGAGAAATGCGCACAGATAGAAACACAGTGGCGCTGGCATAGCCTTCTGTCCCCAGGCTAGACCTGCTTCTCCAGAGCTTGGTGCCCTGCAATGATCCTGCCTTCACCGCTAGGCACAGACATCGGGACGATCTCCTGCCCCCAAGGTGACTTGCAGCTTTAACGGTTTCTACAACTATTTTGTGAAGCTGCCTGACCATCGTTAGGTTGTGCTGCATTTCCTGCAGTGCCATCCTACCCTCCCTCTGGACCAGAGTGCAAAGCCTTCACTCCTCTGTAGCCCCATTGATGTCAGCGTGCATGTGACTGCTCTCCCAAGGGAGTGAGGGGCTTCTCACAGCACTGGCCTATAGTAGAGCTGGTAAAAAAAATGGGGGTGGGGGGGACAGTAAACGTTGACAAAAACAAAATTTCATCTCAGTTTTCCAGAGCATCTTGCACTGAAGCAAAGGCCTGCGTCTCCAGTGGCTGGCAGGGAGTGAAGTGCTCAGCTCCAGCCTCACAGGTAGGTGCCTTTCCTCGGGGAGACAGGTGGCAGGCAGGCACGTGGACGTTTCCTCCCCCGTCTTGGTGTCCGGGTGCTGGGACAGTTGGCAACAATCAGCAGGATCCCTGTCACACAGGTGCAGATGGTGCCGGCTGCAGCCATCCAGTATGAGTAGCCCAGTTCATAGGTCACCCCTGGGATCCCAAGACTGACCTGAAAGGGAAGGTAGCCAGTGAGCTCAGTGGGACACCAGGTGCTGGCCGTAAGCACCAAAGTGAAGTTTTCAGAAGGGTCTGGTACATTTACTGGGATAAATGCTCTTGCAGTTCTTGTAGGGCAGTTCTCTGGCTGTGCTACACAGGAGGTCAGACTGGAGGAGCAAAATGCTCCCTTCTGGCCTTGGAATCTCTGACATCTCCTGGCGACTCCGTGTGCACCCCTTCAAAGTCTCAGACCTCAGGCTGTCACCTGTCTCTGGGGGTGGACTCATGCAATTCTCCCACTCTGAGACCAGGCGCTGGGTTGCACGGGTAACCCCCTCTGGAGATGGTTGTTCCTGACATATTCCTCCAAGCCTCTGAGGAACTGGCCCCTGGACTACAGTAGCAATGGCTACAGAGGCTCAGGACTCCGTTTCCCAGAATGCCTAGAGTCCAGGGTGCTGCTACTCCCAGAACCAAACATAAGCCAGAACTCAGAGACCAAAGGTTTGGCTTTACTCTCAATTTTGGCTGTTGCTGTGGAGTGGAGAGAGAAACATCGCGACCTGGGAGGTCCCCATTAAACTTCCCATTCCTATCCAAAGGGAAACTGAACTCTGTCGGTGATTCCTGGGTTGTTGAAAAGCATCAACCCAACAGAGACCAGCAACCCAGGAGCCTGAGAAGCGATTCCAGACCAGGGCACCGCGTCAGCCTAATTTTCCGTTGGACTCCAGAGCAGAAAGCATCAGGAGGATACTAGCCTTTTAGGGGTGAAGATCTTGTAAGAAATCCTGCATCTATTTATTTTGCTGGTGAGTTTTAAGCTGGCTAATAATGACAGCATTGCATCACCCAGTAAAGAGAACTGACTCTCAATCCACTGTCTGCTGAGGCAGGTGCTGGGATGGAGCTGGGTAGTTTGGGCCTGTTGTAAATGTTGAGAGGTGGAAGGTTTAAAGTATTGTTACTATTTTATTATTCTAGTTACGCCTATTCTTTCCTTATCCCTTATCCTTTGTTCCCTGTACCTAAGTTCTCCCTGTTCTTGTATAGCTACTCTGGGGACTATGATAATTATTTTATTCCTTGTATATTGAAATACACTCCTTGTGTATTATTTGTTAGTAAACAATTCCCCAAGGGACAGCACCCCTTGTGTCCCAGGCACTGGGAGGGGCCCCCTTGGGTAGAGGCACCAGGTGCTAAGATACAGAACTTTGGACTCAGACCCCTGAGATGAGAAGCCACTCCAAGGCAGCAGGGAGAAAGCTTGAGCCACGCAATGACAGTGGTAAGTGGTGACCAAAACGGCCTTCTTCACGCAAAGTAGTGCTTATTTAGAACAAATGCCTTTAGCAGAACACATTGTGGTAAAACACTCTATACACCTCTCCATCTTACCAGGGGTCTGGCTATCTCCCACCCGGGGACCTTAGCAGGACTAACTCCCGATAGACACTTCTGCAAAGCCTCTCTCTGGGGCAGCTTGTCTGTGTCTGAGCTCACGGACAACACCCGTGGCAGTTCCTGGAGAATGCCAACTCCTCTTTGCATGGATCAAATCACTTTGTAACTGGTTATAGCCCTTTGCTCTGGTAACCTCCAGCTTTGGAAAACAAGCTGGCACCTTCCTCAGAGCCAGGATCTTGTTGCCTTTCAAGTGTGTGCTTGGGCATTCGTCTCTGGGAAGTCATTGTGCTGCCTTCCTTACAGACCCCACTGAATTTGAGCATTAAAGGTATGTGTGATGGAATACACCCCTGTATACACACCCTACACCCTTTTGTAATAACCTTTATACATGGTCTGCCTCTTGAGGTACCATCTGAAAACTCATAATCTGCTGGTCAGTATTGTCCTGATAGCATATGTGTGGCAACATTGCATGTGAAGTTATAAGATTTCCCTGTATGATTAAGAGTGCATGTTCAAAACTCATGTAGCACCAAACTGGTGTATATTATTTCCATAAAGGAATAACGAACTTAATATTTCTGGTCTGTCTGGGAGAAGGCTGGACAGTGCAGGACATACATTTCTGGGGAGAAAGTCCAGGACTGGGAGTGTGTGGAGGTCGCCTTGCAGTATAACCCAGGCTGGTGAGAGCCAGGGTATGACCGGCAGGCTGCAGTTACACAAACACATCTGGGGAATGGCCTGCATGCTGATGGCTGGTTGTGAGCAGTCTAGGTTGGAAGCTACAACAGCAAGGCACAGCAAGGCACCCCAGGTTACAAGGCAGGTGTGACATAGCCCCTCACTGCTCTGGATTATACACCGATATGTCACAGCATGTACTAAACATTCACTACCAACAATGAAATTTAGAGCCATACAGTCATACAGGAAATTCTAATAATCAATACACAATAACTTCCTCTCACTCACTCAGTTTCTTGAGGTGCAGTGGCTGAAAGGTGCTTGACTACAATCCTACAGGGTATGGGTTTGCATCTCACTTGATCTCCCACTGAAAGGCCCTTTCCAGTTCACCCAGCTGCAAACGGTGTACCTGACCCATAAGGTTGAGGCAGTCTGATGCTGGCTACCTCACTCTCTTGTGTACTGTCGACTATGAAACTGATGTACCTTTAACCACATCATCCTGACAAGCCATTGGCTTGGAGGAACTTTGACTGACCCACTCACATACAGTGTCCATAAAATGATCACGTCTCAGTACTCATAACATTCCATATCAGCTCCATGATTGTCACCTGGATAGTATAAAAAATGCCCAGAACAAGACAGACTGGACTGATAAGTTTCATGTTTTTAACTAAAACTGGCAGGTATTTTACTGACTAGCTGGGCTAAAATGAAGCTTCAGAAACAAAGGAGCTGTTTTTATATAAATATTCCCATCAGGAAAGAAGAAGAGAAGAACTCCATGTAAAGTACATGCTGGGCCAGAAAGATGACATCAGCTGTCATCTGGGTGTGAATCGCCATAGCACAGAAAAGCCACACTCCTCAGAGGGGAGAAGGGGGCCTTTTGGTGCTGCGGTAAGACAAATGGTAAGAGAACATGCCATTGTCTTCGGCCACACTCGGGAGGAAATCCATTGTACAATTGGCCAGATGGATTAGTGGGGATTCACTGAAGAATCTGCAATTAGTCATGCTCATAGACAGGACAATTGGCCTGTACCAGTGTGTCAGCTCTTATATTCAAATATTCCAAATCAGTAGCCATAAATCAAGACTAGCCATGGGTGATGAAATGGGAATTTGTGAAATATTTTTATGAATCCTATATGTGCCTCAGTTTCCCTTATATTTTGCATGGCTACCCAGGCAGGGAGGAGTACTACGTTTGCTCTTAGAGAAAGCTAAGGGACATAAACCTGTGTGTCACCTCCCTTTCTGAGTGGAATGAAGAGTCGTTAAGGAACTAGTTGAAACTGACGCAGATAAACAAGGGGGCCAGAGACACAATGCAAGCTCCAATGACTCATAGATTTCCCCACCTTTCAGCAAGGAAGCTGAGCAGAAACCCCAGCTCGACAAAGGACTAGAAAGTATGAGGTGGGGGAATAAAAGGTTGGCTTCCAAAAAGAGTCTGGGCTCGCAGACCAAAATAGTCCACTATGACCAGGTAATGATGTCCTCTGAATTCACATAAACCTGCCGGTCGTCTCTTCCAAGGCCTGTCTGGTAGGGGTGTTGTTATTAAAGGTTCTTTGTGTTGCGTTGGTCTGTTAGTTCTGCAATGTTCACATGCAGATACTAAGGAAGGAAGTCAGATTGAGAGAGAGCCTGAAAATGGAGTTTGCTACAATTTGGCTGGTGCTCTCGCTGACCAGGATGATCTATGCTTTAATCTTCATTTCTCTATGCTAACCTAAGGACTTCCAATGCTGTGTTCCAGTTGATTAAGAAACCCAACTGTTTAGAAAATACTGCTTGAGTATCACTGTAAATACTTAGTGATGTGTGTAAATCCCTGAAGAGTGGACAAGTCTCTACCAGGGATCTATCTCCGTTGGACACTCTGAACAGAGCTCATGACGTGACACAGGAGTGCTGAAGCCCCAGAAGTTCAGTCGCAGGAGGCAGTGGACAAAGGAAGAGTCAGACCTGTTGGGATCTGGCACATCAAAGGGTTCCTCCAAGAGACAGTTCCAAGGCTAGGAGCGGAGCACCGATCCTGCGGATCCGTGACACCAGGCAAAACAGAGTATTTCCACACTGCAAAGCACCAAGAGCTGCAGGTGGGTCCAAGGTGCAGCTCCAGAGCCCACATGTCAATGTGCTGCCCAGACCCCAGACCGTCCTTGGTGGAACCACTAGAGCTGTCCATTCTAGTGCCAGGACACCTTCCTCTCCTTCAGAGTGGTCTGTGTGGTACAGATAAGGCCGTGTAACTGTGGTCACGCTCACAGTGGGGTTAACATTTCCTGGGCTTAAAATGCAGCCCACACACAATTCTGTTTGTCAGATATGCTACCTAGTGGGTTCCCCACAGACACCACAGTGAGGCACTGCAGGCAACATTCAATGCAATTCATTAATCCACACATCTGGCATCATTAAACATACACTAGCCACTATACACTATCGCCTTCTGCATTTCACTGGGCCAGATTTGCTGACTGTGGCCTCCATATTTTGGGGTGTGTATAATTACAGGTGGAGTTTTGAACCCTAATTTCTTGGTGCCCACAATTTACTACTCACCTCCCAAATAGACTGTCCACAAGAACTCATCTGAACCTGAGCAGCTGCTCTTATCAACTCTGCCCACTGTGAACTAGCCCCCTTATCTCCTGCTTGGAATTTTCAGCTCCAAACATCTACTGAGAAAGACCAGGCTTCAGATATCAAGGCCTATTGTTTTATATGGATGTAAGACTTGGGCACTTACTAAGAAGGGAGAAAGACAGCAGAAAACCTTTGAAAATGAAGTGTTGAGATGAGTTTTTAAGCCGGTAAAGGAGACTGATGTATGGAGAAGATCTAATAGGGAACTGTGGGAGGTTTGTGGAGAACCAAGTATAGTAAATGTAG